TTACCTAACAAAACAACAAATACCAGAAGAGATGAATATTTGTATCTAGCCCTTCAAGATAGTCTAAAATATCTCAGATCTTAAAGTCATTTGAAGGAAGAGTAGGGACAGGTACCAATGCAAAATTATTAAATACCGTAGTATCAATAAGGCCTGGCATTAATGTTTCCACTATTGGTACTGAAGAAGTTAAGAAAACGGATTTCCTATTTATTATTCTGACATAAAAGTTATCTTGCACATGTTATCCCACCAACTCTGTTTCTGATTAATACATTTGTATATGCTGTAGTTTCACTTTTCCGAATCCAGAAGACAGCTCTGTCTCTCAGAGCTGGAATGTGAGGGACAGGGACAGCTCTGTCTCACACCCTGCAGCAGCCTGCAAGCACACACACGGAAGACTTAACTAGAGTATGTGTGGATACTACGGTTAATACTAACAATGCTCGGAAACACAACCAAGCTGTGGAAACATCTAGTGAAGGTCCATCGCATCTAGGCAGAGAAATGCAGTTTTCATCTGCTTATTTTGCAGTTCATCTTTTGCTGTCCTGGTATGTTAAGTATGCTAGCAGCCTGGAGTGCATACACAGAGTTGAGTAAATTATATGAACTTGGATTATTGATTAAAAGTAACTATTTGCCAGCAAACTGAATTTATGAATGCACCCATAACAAACTATCAGAGTGTCGTCTGAACTGTTGGGTTACTTAACATAATCCCTGGTTCTCTAATAATAACAGAGTGAGGAGTTTGAATTTCAGAGCACTCAGAGTAAGGCGGGATTCAGTGATCTCAGGGTAGGAGCCAAAGCACCACAGAGTTAAAATACTCACAGTCCTGCATATGATTTTTTTACATTTTAGTTATCACACTGTAGTCTAGTCATTTGTTCAAAACAACACTGTCACACTTTGATTGTCAAGAATGTTAACAGTAGCAGACATAAAAAAACAAAGCTGTTTTAATTTTGTTCTTAATTTTTTCCTCTTAAAAATAGAAAGAACCCATAAGAGTATCATTCAAATAAATATCAGATTATTAAAGCAAAAATTTAATGATAAAAAAAGCATTGTTTCAACAGAAATGTACAAGTGTGGTGCCTGCCTCATTAATCTGATAAATCCATATGGACGCCTGACATTATATAGCCTATTGGCAATTCAAATATGCCACAATTTAAATATTGCATCATATGCAGCTGTATTTGATTTTTAAATGCTTGGAAATATGTTCTTGTCACTGTTTTGGATTTGATTACCAATGTTAACGTAGTCAAAATCATCACTGGATTTCATGCCAGTTGGTTTTCAGACAGTCTAACAGTATATGAACCTAGTCGGGTACAGTCCTAGTGTTAGTGTTAATTCTTAAACTCTGGTGCTAAAAGTGTGGTGCCTCAGTCTAGAGGACTATTGAAAAAAGTACTCATCTTAAGGAGACGCAGACAGTCTGGAGCAGAGTTAATGTCTGAAACTTAAGACGACACAAATGGGAAAGCTGAACACTCTGACCAACACAAATAGCAATTCAATTAATTTGTTTCGAATATTATCAGGCTTCAACCAGTGCTGCTAAAGCAGCAAGAGAGTTTTAAGAAGAATTAGCTTAACAAAGAGACATAGGAGGAGAAGACAGTACCCAACATGCTGCTGTGGGAGAGCCAGCTAGTACTGAAACATAGGTCAGATGGACAAGACAACAACAAGCACAGAGGCACTGAAGTAGGGATGTAACGGTATGAAAATTTCATATCACAATTATAGTGACCAAAGTTATCACGGTTATCAATATTATCACGGTTTTGTTCAAATGAGATGAAAATGTTAAAAAAAAGAACTGATACACACACTGAAAACATTTTAATAAGTTTTATACTTGAAAATCAACCAACAACAAATACAATTGCACTTTAAGCATGAATTAACATAAAATGAAGCCCTGAAAGGTATAAGTTTTCCTAGTGCATATAAAATCATATCAAATGCACACATGAAAACACAAGTAAATCAATGTGCATGTATCAATACAATCATATGTAAACAAATCAAATGAACAGCAATGATTGTATGTCTGTTCTTTCCTTCATAAAAAAAAGTGCAGCTAACCTAACATGTTATATGCATCTTCATTCACTTGAGATTGAAATGCAAAAATGTCAGCATATTTACTTTATCTGGTTTAAGTAGTGCTCTTTGAGGGTAGACAATATGCCCACTGGCACTGAACACTCTCTCTGAAGGCACGCTGGTTGCTGGGATGCACAGAAGCTTCCTGGCAACCCTGGCAAGGCGAGACAGTTCTGATGCATGGCCCCTCGACCACACAAGTGGATCCTCTTCTGCTGGAAGTAGGGGCAGAGACAGGTAGACTTTGATTTCTTCTTTCACACTGCCTTCTAGAGTGGTCGGAATCTGACCCTCTTCACTTCTATGCTGCCTTGTTGAAGTAATCTTTTTCTGCAACCCGGCTAGGCCTTTCCCCTCCGATGCTGCTGGTGGTGGAGGTGTTTTGTGGTTTTTCCCTAACATGTGCAGCCAGCTTCACAGCCTCCTGGACACAGTCAGTGTCGAGGAGCGGGCACAGTTGCTCCATGACAATTATTTCAGTATCCTTGGGCATCAGATGCCATGATCCTCTTTCTCCAGCCAGTGTTGCACAGACTGGTTGTTGCTGATTAAGAAAATGCTCAACCATCTTGTATGTAGATCCCCATCGAGTCACCACATCATGTATCAGAGCCTTCTGTGGCATGTTGAGGGCAGCTTGATTTTCCCTCAGTTCTCGCCTTCTCCTCCAGCTCCATGAGAAGCCCTGAACCAGATGAGCCCTGAACCATAATAATAATAATAATATTCACTCTTATACATGGTGTTTGTATGACCAATATTAGTATTAATTATCATTAATGATATTAATAATAATAATAAATCACACACATAATGATAATAATAATAATAAATCACACACACACACACACACACACACACACTTTGAATGAACAAAATAAGTTGGTTAGATTACTAAACTACTGGAATATCGATTCTGTTCTGCTGCATGTCCTTCTTTATAATGACTGTTGTCAATAGCGATGCATTATAAGTTAACACAGCGCATTCATGCCTTGTATCACCGCGGACGTGTTCTCTAGTTGCAATTCATTCAAATGCAACTTGCCGTCTTGCGTCTCAGTTTTGGACTGTATTGAATATGAAGTCAGAGGAATTTAGTATTAATACTACTATAATATTGCTGTAGTAATCATATTGTCTGGACAATTGCTTTGTACACTGTACATAATGGATTTATAAACAGGTAAATTAGGATGAATCTCAATTCCATATTTCATGTACCCGTAATTATATTACTGTATTGCTTTTTGTTGCAGGAGACGGCAGCAAAATGCAGCCCAATCTCAGGCTAGATCAGAGAAACACTTGTGGCAGGAGTAGAGAATGCTGTTTACAGATTCAATGAATACAAGATAAAAGTCTGCGTCAGAGAAATAGCGATGGCAGCAACTGACTTTTAAAGGTCTCCATTTTTCCTTGAAGTCCCCTGCTTGATATTGCACCACACACACACACACACACACACACTTTGAATGAACAAAATAAGTTGGTTAGATTACTAAACTACTGGAATATCGATTCTGTTCTGCTGCATGTCCTTCTTTATAATGACTGTTGTCAATAGCGATGCATTATAAGTTAACACAGCGCATTCATGCCTTGTATCACCGCGGACGTGTTCTCTAGTTTCAATTCATTCAAATGCAACTTGCCGTCTTGCGTCTCAGTTTTGGACTGTATTGAATATGAAGTCAGAGGAATTTAGTATTAATACTACTATAATATTGCTGTAGTAATCATATTGTCTGGACGATTGCTTTGTACACTGTACATAATGGATTTATAAACAGGTAAATTAGGATTAATCTCAATTCAATATTTCATGTACCGGTAATTATATATTACAGATAAAAAATAATCTGTGTAATAGGTTTACTACGAATATACAATACATTGTTATATAAATGTCAACCTTAATATATTGGACATGTTCGTTCATCTTGACTCAAAGCCGCTTGCTGCGGACTTTTTCTTCACGGAAGCTCTGCGTTAATTACAAGTGAGATAATGAAATATTTCATCTCTAATCAATTTTTTTTGTCCAAATATTTGCCCAAGTTAGTTTTGGTATTGAGGTAAACATTAACTTACCTTGCATTCGCTATATAACAGAGGGTGGTGATCACAAAGATGGCTCAGCAAATTTGACGCGTTTCCCCCTTTTGCAGCGACTTTCTTCTTGCATGATTTGCAGACAGTGTGACCGCCCTCGATTAAATTGCCCTCATGACTCTTGTAAAAGCCAAAATACGACCAGACCTCCGATTTGGTCCTCTTAGATGGCTGAAAAATCTCCCGAGCGCTATCACTGCCTTCCACCATATCATATCGTGCCAAAAACTACAATGTGTGCTGCTCCCGTCCCGTGTCAGACTGATGCTGGCTGGAAAGGATTTACCGCGAGTTTTTAAAATCACGATAATCAAACACGGTGTTAATGATAATTAAATTTTAAACGATAATACTAACCGTCAGGACATTTTATCGTGGTTTATCAATAAACCGGTAATCGTTTCATCCCTACACTTGAAGTATTACTGCATTTCATAAATTCAAAAAATTAATCAATTATG